ATCAAGGATCGACGTAGAGGTTGGTGCCGATGTACATTCTCTCACTAGAAATTGTAGTGATGAACTGTAGCTGGCATCCAGTTGGTTCTTGTGAATCCGAACAAACCGCACTGGGTTTTTATTTCGCAAACAGGACATCCAGGAATTTGTTCACTTTGCTTCGTTTCATTCGATCTTATACACGCACATTGATTTCAAAAATAACTTACCGATCTTTCCGCAGCATTCGTATTTTCGCACAGACCAGCACATCCGTGAATAGGAGCAAGTAGCGCAGCTTACGTTCATCCGATTGCGAACGTTCCAGCTCCACAATCATACTGTGAACTTTTAATTCCCGTGTGTGCTTTTCCAGCATGTGCTGAACGGAAGTATGAATCGGGTTAAACGAGTGAGAACGATTGTAAATACTCTGTCTACCTTCCAGGAGCATTCATCACGAGCACGCTGAGATATAGCAATTGTAAACTAGGCGTACGAAATGCACAACATAACCGTTTTATGTTACCTGAGTGTGCACAAGACGTGAATTCACGAAATGCTATTGTGTGTATTTTTCAGAACAACGAGTTTTGCATCACAGAAGGAATTCATTGTGTATAGAGTTAATGAAGCGTGAACCGAAAAGCTGGGAAGCACTGCACAGCTTATTCGACCTGGTTGGGTCTCATCCACAGATTTTTATATCATAAGATTCCCAATAACCAAGATTCCCGATCGTCTAGATAGATAGATAGATAGATAGATAGATAGATAGATAGATAGATAGATAGATAGATAGTGGATGGATATATCACTAGAAAGATAGATAGACAGATAGATAGATAGATAGATAGATAGACATATAGATAAATAGACAGATAGTTAGATAGATAGATAGATAGATAGATAGATAGATAGAGCACTGAATAGTTCGTTGTTTAATGTATCCAGTTTGGATCTCTTGCGAGATTTCCATGAAAGATAGAGAAAGAACACTGAACAAGGTTTTCGTACTCTTTGGGAATCATCCACGGCGTATCTCGGTTTTCCGTCTCGAACCTTGAGCCTTTCGTTGCGTATCCAAGCCCATTGCCATTGAGCTAGCAAGATGTTTGATAGCTTACATGTAGGACGGTNGCCTACCTGACGTCACGGTTCGAGTCACAACAGGGATAGTAAACCACACATTGTTCACGAGCTTGCACGAGTACTAAAATACTTCACAGTCCTCAATTTTAGTCATCGTGGATCAATTGGCTGTACTTTGCGCGCGCCCTTCGATTGGCTGCGCTACACTTACATGCTCTCCGTCACATTGTGGGACGTTTCACCTTTTCACTTACTATCAGGCGCCGTCGGTACTCACGGGATGATATTATTTGTTTCAAATGTGCCGGGACATGCTTCGATGGTTCAGCGGTTTGTGCGACTCCATTTTCCCACCGTCTAGGCTGGCCCAAAAATCGCAAGCGTGCAGGATGGCAAGTTGTTCTTAATTGCATCCCTCTGTCAAAGATGACTGCCCCCTCATTGGTCAGCATCAACACTCAGTCCCTGTTTCCCAAAATATCGGATTTAACTAGTGTCCTCCGATCAAGAATTCATACGAACACGTGTGCAGTCTGTGTTCCAGAATCCTGGTTGAATAAGGATGTAGATGACTCTCTAGTGTCAATAGACGGTTTTCAAGTTTACCGGCAGGATCGCGGAACCGGATGAAAACAGACCGCAGGGGGTGTTGCCACATATGTCAATGTTTTCTGGTGTGGCAAGTCCCATTTTTTTATCAGTACTGCTCAAAAAGTACTGAGTGCCTAACTACACAGTGCCACCCTAGATTTTCCCGTTTTACTCATACGATTTTGACTAACTTGTATATAGCCCCCTCCTGTACACAGTTTGATCGTATGTCATTTTTCGACTGGTTTATACTTTTGATTGCCCCACTTTTAGATGCTAACCTGCACATAATCGTTGGTGACTTCAACCATACTAGCATTTATCCACTTTTATCATTGGGTATGACAGATTTCTGTCACTCTCCCACAAGAGCTAATTCCACGCTGAACAGAATAATTACCAACCACCCAACCCTGTTTTCTTTAGCACTAAAAGCTCCTATTTCTTCCAGTGACCATTGCTTACTCTTAGTTTGATCTAAAGTTTATTCACACAGTGCATACAAATCTTTC